TCCTATTCCTCTTCTCTTCCATATTATTATTACTCCTCCTCCTACTTCTCCTCCTCCTCCTCCACCTCCTCCGCCTCCGCCTCCGCCTCCGCCTCCTCCTCTCCTCCTCCTACCTCCTCCTCCTCTCCTCCTCCTCCTCCCCCCCTCTTCCTCCTCCTCCGCCTCGCCTCCGCCTCCGCCTCGATCCACCTCCGCCTCGCCTCTCTCCTCCCCTCCCACCTCCACCTCCACCTCCACCTCCTCCTCCTCCTCCTCCTCCTCCTCCTCCTCCTCCTCCTCCTCCTCCTTCCCGGACAACCCCAAGAGACCCCAGGCGGCCGAGAGGAACCTCACTCAGACGGCCCACTGCGTCATCAAGACAAGCTCGGCGGGCCCCAAGCTGGCCCCGAGTGGGCCCTGCAAAGCCCGCGACAGCCCCGACGCTGTCCACACAGCCCCCCAAGAGTTTCTCAAATAATAGAAACGAGATGTGCCACGTGGTACAGCCTTCGGTGCTCGAAGCCGAAGCGTCATCGCACGGAGTGCTGCGCCGACCCGGCGGCGGGACGTGCCCTAGGCAGCTGAATAAACGCTGACCGGAAGGGCACGGGGGGGGGGGCGGGGCAGCACGACACACACGAACAGAACACAGTACACCAATGTCAAGACACCCACGGATCGAAGCACCCGGGCTGCTGCCTGGCCGGGCCGAAGGCTTCCGGGGAGGCCCTCCAACTGGAGGCCAGAAGCCTTTCAGAAGTCGCTGCACTCCGTCCTCCTGTCCACACGGAGCGTTTGAGACGCCAGGTCGCGGCATCGAGTAGCCAGAAGGCCCGAGACCGATCCCCAACACCAACCTGGCCCAGCTTCCGGGCCGCGTCCAGCCTTGGCGACGAAGGGTTCCCACGAAGGCGCAGGCACGGAGGAGCAGGATAATGAGGATGGAAGAGGGAGGGAGCGAGGGAGAGATGGAGGGAGGGAGAGATGGAGGGGAGAGCGGGAGGAGGGAGGAGGGAGGAGGGAGGACAGAGAGGGGAAGAGGAAGAGGAGGCGACGTCGAGTGGTCGAGACTCTGTTGTTTGAGCGGGCCTTCTATATTAGTCCTGTCTAGGGACGGGTCCCGACTAGGATTCGGAAGCAAACCCTACCGTGGCGACAATGGCCTCCCACGAGGCCAGAACAATGATTAAGAGTTTGGGAGGGGCCCACCCCACGAAACTGGGTGCAGCGCAGGTCGTGAAGAGCGCTCCGTGTGCCAGTGCGGACAGTGGGCTGCGGCGCAAGCAGGCGCAGGCGAGCTGAAAGCCCTGTGGGGCATGGCACACGGCTCACAGTGTTTTTCGTTGTCGTGTTGTCTTCGTGTTCTTGTTGTGCCTTTGCTGCGAAACGAAATCAAAACGAAAACTGTCCACCATATCGCCAAAACACCGTTTAGCTCGATCCCTGGCAAGGCATGCTGTAGAAGAAGAGAAAGAACGCCATGAACATAAAACATGTGGCGTTCCGCGCAGACTTCTTGGACCTGCGCTGGACCCCCCTCCCTGGCGCGCGGAGCGCGCCAGGGGCGGCGCTGGAGGCACCACCCGGGGGGCCCAGCGCGGATCGAAGAAATCCGCGCGGAGCGCCAAAAGTTTATGTTTATGGCGTTTCTCCTCCTTCGATGATGTGGGATGGTCCGTGAGATGGGCTGTGCCGACACGGCCATGGCGGGGGGATGCCTTGCGACAGCGCGCGCTGCGGCCGCGGGCCGCAGGTGGGGAGTGCCCTGAGCCGCACAGGATCGCACAGGACCCGCGTCGGGGTGTGCGCCGAAATCTGGCGCGGCGGCGGCATGCGAGCGCGCCCGCTGGCACGAGCGCGTCTCTTTGTTTTCGGCGATAGTGGGCATCATAGGGGTGGGAAGGGGGCCAGGGGGGGGTAATGTAGCGCCTCCCCCCTGCCGTGGGCCCGATGCGCACGGCGGCAGTGCACGGAGAGCACTGGGGGGGAGGGGCGTTGCGTGATAGGGGGGGGGAAAGGGGGGGAAAGGGGGCTATGATGCCCATCATGCCCCAAACACTAAAGGAGCACGCTCCACCGTGGGTGGGGGCACCACGTGGGGCGCGATGCGTGCGAAGAGTGCGCCAAACTGAGCGGGGGGCGCCATGCGAGCGCTGGCCGTGGGTGGGGCTCCCCAGGCGGCGGCATGCGAGCGCGCCCGCTGGCACCGTGGGTGGGGCAGCACGTGGGGCGCGATACGTGCGAGGAGCGCGCCAAACTGAGCGGAGGGCGGCAGGCGGGCACCGTCGTTGTGGCTGGCCGTGGGTGGGGCTCCCCATGGTGGCACGATCCGCGTGCTGGCTCCGCCGAAGCCGGCGGGGTGCTGCATGAGGGCACGCCCTCTGTGGCCGTAGATTTCAGTCGGGCGTGTCCCCCTACAGGGGGATTTGAGACGAAACATAAAAAATATTCAAACCATACCCCCAAAAATAATCAAGCATAGTCAAAAAATCGTCCCCTGACTATTTTTTTGACTATCTTT